CAACTAAAGCAATAGTCTCGCGTGACCAGCCTCCCTTACTTTGGAATGGGAGTCTGGGGACATTCGTCTTTCGTTTTGTAATAGAAATGGGCGGGGATATCCGGACCATGTGATGGCGTTGCCATAGGTACCGCACGTGTGTTACATGTAACAGAGACGTTGCAGCTCTGCAATATAGCTGAATCAAATGAAATCATATCCATTTTAATCTCTTCTTGCGATGCACTGAACACTTCCTTTTCTGTTGTACAACGGACAACAATTCGGGGAACAGCAATTCCAGTGTAGACGTGTGTAAGGCAAAGCTAATCAGCCACTGGTCGAGGAAGACCCAATCATATCACTGCCACTGGGAGCCAGCGCTAGTTCTATTACAACTTTCCTATGGGAATGACCACAAACGACAGATTCAGCCAGTGTGCTGACGTCATCAGCGTCTGTGTAAGAGACTACGAAAGCAAGTGTTTTTAACAAGAGTATCGGACATGTCCAGCTGTATGTGTAGCAACAAAAGCAGATGTTTTTTACAAGAGTTTGGAACATGTCCAGCTGTATGTGTAGCGACAAAAGCAGGTGTGTTATTTAACGAGAGTTCAGAACATGCCTAGCTGTATGTGCAAGAACAAAACCAGGTGTTCTTTAACAAGAGTTCGGGACATGTCCAGCAATATACGTGGCAACAAAAGCAGGTTTTTCTTAAAAGGGTTTGGGACATGTCCAGCCATATGTGTAGCTACAAAAATTGGTGTTTTTTTTTTTTTTTTTTTTTTTTTTACAAAAGTTTGGAACATTTCCAGTCGTATGTGTAGCAACACCAGCAGATGTTCTTTAACAAGAATTCGGGACATGTCCAGCTGTATGTGTAGCGACAAAAGCAGGTGTTTTTTTACATGAGTTCGTAACATGTCCAGCCATGTTTGTAACAACCAAACAGGGTGTTTTATGGCTGCACTATGCAGTAATTGTCTGTTACTGCTAGAAAACAATATCACCAGTAAAAGTGAAAGCCGACCCCAGATTCACTTTTATTTGCTATATTTGGAGTTTTTTCACCTCACCTGCGTGCTGTGCCCAGGACCTTTCAAAACACAGCAAAATATTAAAATAAGAAAATATAGGCAGAGGGCAGGGTCTCTGCAGATAAATACACTGCCACACACTTCTAGTGGATCATAAGTGATGATGGAGTGGAATTACTTTTGTATGAGTCTGCACATTGGTTTTTTCCTGCGTAGTATACCTTTAAGCCAAAACAAGATCTTTCCCTAACCTTAACCAAGTGTTTTTGTGTCTTTACCTAAACATGTTTACCCCTGCGTCACAACATGAAATTGAAAATTAAAAAATGAAGAAAGTTTCAACATAGTTGTTACATATGAAATGTGTGTGAAACCAATGAAAAGATCATAGAAGAAACACAAATCTCTTATGTGAATTAACCAACACTGCTTTAGTGTTGGCATAAAACGTGTTCTTGAAGGACCCCATTGCTCATAGTACAAAGCTGATTGAAATAAACAGTTTCAAGACCTTAAAAGAGGTTTTTGGGAGATATAAAATAGTAAAGTGAAGTTGGCTGTGGAAAGAAACTGATCTCATGAGACAGGATGACCTTATAACCCCCACTGCAAAACCAGCCAACAAATTCTTTTCATTGCAATCACTGGCCAGCGGGTCAAAGATCCCACATTAAATGGCTCGTCCACCCCCGGAATCCTGGATCTCTAGCCTGATGAAGCTCCTCTTTATCAACAAAGCTAAACTCACGTGGATGCAGCACCCAGGCTCACAGTGTGGTTCACTTTGATTCATGCTCTTTGATGAGGCTGCGAGGTCATGACGGATTCTTTATGAAGATCCTTTATGATGTGTGAAATTATTCATTTAGTGATGCATAGCCCTGAGAGTGAACACCTCTATGCCACCAAACACTCCTCAAGTGTTTTAATTCACTTAAAATCCTGGCATCGTATATATTTACTGCAATAGATGATAGTTCAGGTTTTAATCACAGGCGTAAAATGAAGCTAATAACATGGTGTTGCTTTGCCAAATCACTGAGCAAGGGAATCTTTTACATTCTATAAATTACACACTGTTAGCCGCTTATATGAGCTCAAATCATTAAAGAACTGATTCGGAAATCCTCCATCAATGAGAGATACGATGTGAAGAAGCTAGACAGATTCATTACATTTCCTCTTCATTGTTTACAGCACTCTCTCTGTAAAAGGGAAGCTGCAACGATAATAATAAAAGCCTATTGGAGAGACTTTGATCTCCTCTTCATGATGCCACAGCAGCAGCCTGAATATTCCCTGTGAGCCTTCACACACAAAAGGCTGATATTCTTTTTTATCATTAACATGATAGCATGAAGTGCTGCCTGCAAAAGTTGCTTTCTATTTGAGCAGGATGCCAAATTAGTGTTTCCTTTTATCAGATGATCAGGTGAAGCAACTGTTAAGAACTCTTTATCAGTGTAGCAGTTATCATGGGTGAGACTACTGGTATGATCATAGGTAGGTCATGCAGAGTTTCACCTTAAGTGTCAGGTAATGTAATGTGGTATGTTTCACTTTCTTAAAGGCTATTTTTGCTACATACATGCTGCAGCTCACAGTGTCCCCATTCTGATGTTTTTTTCTTCATGTGTCCCAGTTTTGATGTTTTCTGATCAGTGTGAACAGCAAAAAGCTGCAAGGAGTCACAGTTTTCCAGTTACCATCTGGACCACATGGAAGTGTGATGCACCATCAGATCAGGGTGTGCAACCTCTAGCAGCTTGAATATGAATACACAATCCAGAATTTGTCAGCACTGCCATGACTCTGTTACTGTGTGAGAAGATGCGCCAGTTAAACTCAAACCAGAGGACATACACTGGAAGTAAACAGTGTGGACATCAAGTGGGAGAAGCTTTTAAGACGGGAGGTACTTTGTTACTACAGTCTACAGCCATGCTAGCTGCTCTGTGAGACTACTTAGGCACAGTGGTGCTTTAAGCTAAATGCTAACATCAGCATGCTAACATGCTCCTGGTCACAATACTAACATGCTCATGTTTAGCTGGTGTAATGTTATCATGTCCACCATCTTAGCTTAGCGTGTTAGCATGCTAATATTTGCTAATTAGCACAAGCTGAGGCTAATGGGAGATGAGAGGAGATTTTGGCTAAGCTGCAGCCAGCAGCTAATGGTGTTAACAGTGCTTACAACATTAACAGTGATGACAGAGCTAATGGTGTTAACCAATAGATTTATGATAATACCTTGTTATCGCATGGCAAGAGGGTGCCTATTCATCTCTTGCCGTATGCGCTCATCTGGCGCATACGGCAAAAAGTTTTCTTGCTTTTGGGTTCTAACTTAACATTGTAATGATGTCACAGATTTTTGTGAATCACTTTTTCAGTAAATTTTTACAAATATAAAACCTCCTTGGAAAGAATCATAGTTGACCTTGTTTCCAGTTTGAGGTGTCCAGTTAACAGTTTTACAAATGTGTCTTTTACAATGGTGGCCTGCAGGGAAAATGCTTTTTGGGCTGCAAGGGATTTTTTTTCTGCAATACCATGAGAAGCCACTGGGAAAAAGCTGCAAGGCTTAGTGGTGTTTGAGGTGGCCTGTGTTACCAGGGGGAAACTGAAGGATTGGCGCTAACGCTTTTACAACAATGCTGTCACATTCGGCAGTAACAACTGTAGGAGCGCAGTGCAGAGCAGCAGCAATTAGCTAGCTAGTGTGATTCAAACACAGGAACTTACATGCACATAGGGCCTGTGACCACATTTTTCGTTGTCAGAAAAGCAGTGGCAGGGCAAAAGGGAGCGCTTCATAAAAAAGCACTTTCGACATTAACATTAGCTAGGTAGCTAACGTAAGATTACGTTAACAGAGGTTTGACTCCTACCTAACATTAGCTAGATAGCTAATGTAAGATTAAGTTAACAGAGGTTTGACTCCTACCTAACATTAGCTAGGTAGCTAACGTAACATTACATTAACAGAGGTTTGACTACCTAAATAACAACAAGCTTACAACATATACGGTGATAAAAGCACAACACTCACCAGCAACGCTCAGTGTCTAGCAGACACTGACAAAAAAAACAAAACACTGTGGACACAGGCACTGACATGCACGCGTGGTCTAACCATATACCACAACATAGAACACAGAAGCTCACGTTACAACACAAAGAGGTAGTCTGTCGTCATCTCTGCTCATAATGCCATTACTCCACTATATCTTTATGTAGCAAGTAGTTGTTTGCCGCTATATAATTTCATGGCAATCTCTCCAATAGTTGTTGAGAAATTTCATCTAAAACTAAAAATGCCAACCTCATGGTGGCCCTGGAGGAAAAGTCAGGGGTTCACCAAAGTCATTAGGATCTATCCTCTGGGGACTACGATTGTTTGTATTAAATTTCTTGGCAAACCATCCAAACCAAAGTAGACCAAAGTGGACCAATCAACCAAACAAGCAACAATGCCATCCCTAGAGCCATGCTGCTAGTGGCAGTAAAAGTCAGATAAGAGCCATAATTTGGCCTTGAAGATCTGTAGTGTGGATATCAGTGCCTACTTTATACATATCAGCTAATAATAGCCAGCCACTATGTTTTTACTGTTGTGTCACTGTATGTTATTCACCATGTTGGGTACTGTTCCTGATGTGAGTGGGAATGAACACAGTGTTCAAGCTTGACTAGTGCATTAACACCTTCGACAGCCAGCTGGTAGACAAGTCTGGACAGGGGACACAGACTGAGCTGTCAAAATAGCCTGTGAAATTGCAAGGAGGATACAGTAAATCACATTGCCCCTGTAGTATTATACTTAAGTAAAAATGACATAAATGTTGAGTAGTTACAACATAATGTTTACTATATGACATAATATAAATAGCAAAAGAAGCTGGAAAAAGTCATGACTGTAGATCAATACAATACTCAGCAACAGAGAAATATCATGGGTTATAGGAAAATGTAAAATATACGTGATATTGTAATTTATTCATTCATAGGACAGGATTTTAAAGGAAACAGGCTATGGAAAGCCAGGAAACAAAATTTCAACTACTGGAACTCCAATTTTTAGGGGTATGATTAAGATTTATTTCCTTTTGAAAATATACCCATAAATTTGTCATATGAAAACAATTATACAACCTTGAACAATTTATCACAACAGGATCACACAAGTTAACACCCACGTCCCTGCATTACAAAGAATTGCCCTTAATTGGTTTTTACTGTTTTTTTTTTCTTTTTCTAAACATTTAAAACATTTTCAACAAAAAAACTAAAACAATACAAGATTCCACTACGACTCTCAAATTGCTGTCTATTAAATACCCAGAACCCCTTGGTGCCCTAGGGAAGAATCCGGACACGCTAGCTTGAAGTGGTGCAATCAAAGAAAAATGTGAAAGGGGGGAAATTCAACCCATAAATCTGTGAAGCTCAACTTTGTCTTGTCCCAGAGAGGCCACCGGCCAGTAAATCTTTGCCATTGTGTCTGGCTACCGACTCTTTTATATCATATCAAGGGATTTGTCTGGCAGGAAAATCTGCCCATGATTTATTGTGTTATAAAATGGGTTTAACATGCCATTTCTGTAGCTGGAAGCTTTTCCCGAGTAATAACAACACTGACCACTGCTATTTCTCAAGAAAAGTGTCTAGTGTTGCTTGTAAGTGAGCTCTATGGTAAAAACAAAGCCCAGACTTCACATTGTAGCTACTGTGTGTGTGTGTGTTTTTTCCTTGAGTTTAGAAAAATCCCCATCTAATATTGGAGTCATTCCAAAGGGGGCAATGACCTCTCCCAAAATTTATGCAGCATTTCTCTTGAATATAATAATTGTGATTTTGCATACAAACATAGATAATCCTCTGTTTTACTCAACAGTGACAATACTGTTGTTACATGACCGAACAAGAACAAAGGCCTGGAAAAATGCTTTGGACCCTATCATTCATTTTAATTGTTCCGTTCAACGAGAAAGGCAATGCGTGCACATGCACAAAGAAACGCACAAATGCAACATGCGCACACTGATGCACTCACACATACACGCACACGCGCACACATGAACACAACGCACACCTCTCGTACTGCAGCTAAGATGGGTATTAGACAATTTAGTCCTGACATGTTGCAGCGATGATAGGTCTACTGCCACGCGAAGATGTCCCCTGTCACTCCCAGCGGCTCCCTCCTTCACCTTGATGTCACGGTGAGTCGACAACATCATTACTCATCACGTCACCACTGAAACACATGCCTAGTGCAGCACTATATCACTCCCATATTGATATGTTGGTTATAGTATTATATTCAATGTACTGTATGAGAACATTATTTCATATAAACACGTCCACGGTTTCATATATCACTTTTATATTCACATGCCCACTTTGTCACTAGATCACTGTCATATTGACACCCACTATATTAGCACGTCACTTTCATTGGTCACAAATCCACTGTGTCATAAAAAAAACTTTTTTTTCAGCTGATATGTGTGCACTTTGCTATCGTAGGCGTCAGTCTGCATCGTTTTCAAATCATTTTCATGTTAACCCGTCGTGGGCCGCTTGTTTCTGTCATGTCTGCTGATGCCCCGTTGGATTTGCGAGGGACATACTCAATATCAAAGTTGCTCTTATGGCGTCCTTTCCCTCGGCTCCAGGCAAACAGTAGCAGGAAGCAGAAGATGACCACACCCAGGAAGGACAGGCAGCCCATGGCTGTAGATATAATGATAGTCTTAATGTCTATGGGGACTGTCATGTTATACAGTACTGTCCCATTCCCCCATGTGCTGTTAGAGTCTGTCAGATAGTTTGAGCTCCTGTTGCTATAGTGGGATCTGTCTCCAATGCCCAGGCTCTTCACAGCTAAAGAGGCCGACAGGCTAGCGTTGCCAGCAGGGTTACTGGCAATACACAAATACACCCCGCTGTCATGCAGCTCCGCTGCCTTGATCTCCAGGGTTCCATCTGGTTGGACTTCCACCCTGCCGCTGCTCTTGGTTGTGATATAGCGTCTGTGAGGTGTAATCCATACCACTGAGGGCCGAGGCGCTCCCTCTGCCATGCAGCTCAGGCGGGCGGGCTGACCCTCATCAGCCATCAGTAGCTGGGTCGTGTTGGGTCCAATCCGTGGTTTGGTGCAGGTCATGTATCTAGAGACCAGAGGCTCCTTGAGGTCACGGAGAGATTTCCCCAGGAGGTGCTCAGGGGCGCTGCACTCTGGCTGCACATCCAGAATCTGCAGAGAGGGTGGCTTGTGGCTATTGAGCAGCCAAAGCAATCTGCAGTCGCACACTAATGGGTTTCCACCCAGACAGAGCCTCTGGAGGCTGTCTGGCGAGGCAAACACTCCCCTCTCCAGAGAGTCCAGGCGGTTCTGTGACACATCCAGTAGTTGCAAAGATTTGAGGCCCACAAATGCAAAAGGCTCAATAGAAATCAGCTGAGCCCCTTGGAGGTGGAGCTCCAGCAGGTGAGGGAGTTGACCCAGCTCTCCCTGATGGATGTGCTGGATGCGGCAGTAGGACAAGTTGAGATGTGTGAGGTAGGGCACGTTGCGCAGGGCTGCGCCAGGGAAGGCAGACAGGTTAGTGTTGGTTATGAACAACGTTGTGAGGTTGAGGCCATGCAGTGAGAGGGGAGGCAATGTGTCCAGCCAGGGCCAGTAATCAATCTCTAGTCGGCGGAGACGTGATAACCTCTTAAAGGAGAAAGGCTTTAGAAAACTAATGCTCAAATAGCGCATGCGCAGCTCAACCAGGCTGTGCAGATGTGCCAGAGCATCAGTAGGGACCACGGTCAGATTAGAACGCTCCAGGGTCAGACTTTGGAGTCCAAGCAATCCTGTAAAGGCCCGCTGAGAGATGAAAACCAGCTCGTTGTCACCCACTTCCAGGTACATCAACTTCCGCAGATCTTGGAAGGCATGATCCAAGAGAACCACCAGTCGGTTGTGGCTGAGATCTAGGCGAGTGAGGTTGGTCAGGCCTGACAGCACGCCAGCAGGAACTAGCTGAAGCAAGTTGCTGCGAAAGTTGAGCGAGCGGAGAGCAAGCTGGGACCGAAACGAGCTGGGTTCGACCACACTGATGAGGTTGTCGCTGAGGTCCAGGTCTTCCAGCTGCTGGAATGAAGAGAAGTTGTCTGGTGTGATGATGCGTAGCTTGTTTTTACTGAGGTCCAGGACACGCGTCTCAATGGGGATGCCTTCCGGGATGGTGGGCAGGCGCTTGCGGTGGCAGCTAACCGACTTGCTTTGGGCAGAGCACTCGCATCGGGCGGGGCAGCTCAGAGCCGGGCTGGCCAGGAGAAGCAGCAAGGCCCCGCCCAGGAAGAGGTGGCAGTGGATCAGGGCTGGGTGTTGCATGTCTCTTTTACCCACGTTGCCCTCTGTCATGCCACAGCTTCTTGTCCACACAGAGCACCATCACGAACAAGCCCTGCAAGACACAATACACGAACAAGTGTTAGAATACTCCACGCTCAGCTCAGCCTGTCATCACCTCTTTGCCTCTCACCTTCTTACATTTTCAACCTTTTATGTCTCTTTAAAGTGCCAAGTCTTTTCTCCCTTAATGAACTGTCCCTTTTTCTGGCAAGGAGGATATAATAGAATTAAACTCACAGGAGGGCGAGACACAGCAAGAGAAATATCAGCCGCAGAAAATTGTGAACCTTCATCACTGTGTTAGCACAAAAGGTTGCAGGCTAACTGGGGATGTTTCATGAGGATGGAAGATGTTTTGGCCCGGCGGCAAGAAATGACCCTCGTTAGAGTGCAGTGAGGCTAAATGCCCATGTGGATTTGGTGTTGCTACGTGTGTGTGTGACTGTGTATTTTGCATCAATGATAATGGTGTGTTTATGTGTGTGTGAATGTGGCAAGTATTCAAGCTAAAATACAAACTAAACAGAGAATGAAGTGGCAGCTTGTGTTTGCTTCTATAAGTGAATCCACAGAGTTTTGCTGCAATGTTGCCAGGCGCACATACGGCAACAAATATATGTGACTCTTTAATTAGTAATCAGCATACTGAGTCATCTCACTGGCTTGTTGTTTCAGTTTACACTGAATACACAGAGTTTCTATATTTATCACTGACATCGTGTGTTTCAACCTGCATCTATTTATGTAGAGAATACATACATCTCCCGTTTAAAAATCAATAAAAATAAAAGCAAGCAATGAGCACGAGCGCTGTGAAAAATAACACATGCATGCATTTACATAATCCCCACAACAGTTTCTATTTGCTTTATTGCTCTCGTAGTTTCTGTTTACGGCTTCTTACTGCAGATTACTGTTTCTTTATATTCTTTATTTGTTGTTGGATTGCTTTTTTTTTCTATAGCAAGTTTATCTTATGATGAAGCCATTTGATGTGTGATGTAATGTGCAGCACTTGCTCGGCTATACAGTATGGCAGAGCAACATTACTGCAGTCACATGTGCTTGTCTCTAAAGCACACACAGTCTCAGCTCATGATGATACAAAGTGGTACAATTGGTATTGAAGCACTTTCTGCTTTACATGACAGGATAAATGCACTTTACCTGTAAAAACCAAGAAATAAAATAAAAATGACTAGTATTATTTCATCTTTTAAGTTGGACGATATGTTTGAGTGGAAGGAAATTAATCTGTGAAGTTTGCAGTGATGGTTAAAATATTTCGGGATTGTTTCTGTGATTGATTGGTTTGATTTGTGAGGGTTTTTCTGGTTGTTTCTTTTACATTTTGTTGATTTATTTAACTTTTTTTTTTAACATAAATGTTACATTTTCTTTATTTATTCAATGTTTTCCACATTTATGTTATATTATCTACACTTAGTTTACACTTTCTACATGGATTTTACATTTTCAACATTTAATATGTTTTCTATATTTATTTTACACCACTTTCTACATTGATGTTACATAATCTACACTTATTTTACACTTTCTACATTTATTTTACATTTTCTACACGAATTTTACATTTTCAACATTTGTTTTGTTTTCTACATTTATTTCACACTTTCTACATTTATTTTACATTCTCTACATTTATTTTGTTTTCTACATTTATTTTACATTTTCTACACTTATTTTACAGTTCTACATTTATGTTATGCTTTCTACATTTATTTTACGTTTTCTGCATTTATTTTACATTTTCATAATTTGCTCAATGAACTGTTGCTTCAAGTCCCAGCCGCCACACACAGGGGTTTTACGGAATGAGAAGATAACGGCGGGGTAATGAGGGGAAGGATTCATAGTTCAACAGTAAAAGATGATGTTCTCTGAGTGCCATGCCTCCTCACAGCCCGGAAAGACACAGACTCTGACAGAAAATCACCTTCCAGCAGCCACAGGTTGTTGAATTGACAGATGGCTATGTAGACAGTGAGGCTGACCATAATTGCCTCATTACCAGTAGTATCTGCATTCTGCTCATGGCTATCTCTGCCAATTAGGTGTGCAAAGCGTAAGACACATCTGTGAGCGACGGAAATCTGAGTGCACATCATAAAGGCAAAGAAAAATGCTAGAAATATGAAAGATGCCTTTAAAAAGCTTTAGACTGCTTGCAGAGCTCTGTCAGTCACTGCAAAGCAAAAAAATCCAGCCAAGGTAAGCAGATGATGAGCACGCAGACAGACACATACCTTACTTTGATAGTGAAGTGAGTGACATTCAGAAAATAGCCGAGATGAGGCAGAAGGAGCCGAAGAGCACACACACACACGCACACACACTCTTCCCCACAGCACTCACCCCTCCGCCCGGCTCAGCAGCTGCACTGCTCGCATCTCCATATCTCTCCTCTCTCCCTCTTCTGCCTATCGCTCTTTTATCTCTCCGTCCTCCTGTTCACACATCTTCCACCTAACTCCTTTTTCTCTCCCCGGTCCTGCCTGGCCTGGCAAAAGCCCCGGTCCGTTCATCAGTCCCTGCAGGCTGGGTTTTTATCGATCGCAGCGCAGAAACATCAGATGCCAGGAATGTAGCCTTTAACAAAGAGCAGGCTGTTGCCACAGCAACTACAAACCCTTACTCCCATCCGCTCTGTGTAGTCTGCCAATCATGTTAATGAAAAAAGGAAGAAATAGAGTAAGGAGGCTGATATGTTTTCTCATATTCCTTCAGTCCTTGCATTGAGAGAACACACAAATTGAATACATTCCTGGAAATTCGGTGTCATTGGTATAGCAGAGCCTAGTTTAAGGTGTTTCCAATCTGTCATTCTAGCCGCCTTGCTATTTGTCGACCTGTCTTGTTGCCCATCCATCTGCTGCTCTGGTAACTATCTCTGTCTGTCTACCTTATTATCCGTCCACAAGCCTGCCTCTGTCTTTGTGTATTTATCTGTCTGCCTTTACCCGTCTGCCTCTGTTCCTCTCTGCCTCTCTGTTTAATAATTACAGTCCAGTTGTCTGTTGCTGCAGTGGGGAACTGCTCTGGTGATCTGTCGGAGAGCTGTGTGTCAGGAAGCACGCAGCCTCACCACGGCAATGCTGTTGCTTGAGATGTTGCGCACATAGAAACACTAAGTTATTTAAGATCATATCAGAAAAAAAGCACATTATAAAGTAGCTGTTGTTGTGCTGGAGGTTTTTCTTTTTTTTTTTGCTTTCTCCAGAGTTAAACATTAAAAGAAACAAAGTTCAGCTTCTCTGACAGGCCACAGAAAAAAAAATCTAATGCCTTAACTCTAAATATATTCCATTTTACTGAGACTTTTCACCATTTTTAAAGCTGCAATCCTCCTAAACAAATCTGACATATTTACAGCAGATATCGTAAATCTAAATCTCTCCCGATCTAGGTTTCACGGTGCAGACATTGATAAAATAAAGATGATTTCACAAAGACTGTAAATCATGTCCTTGGATTAAAACACTATTCCAGCACTTGTACAAGTCCATAACCTTGAAAAATGATGTTGCTTTGATTCTGCTGAAGACCAGCAGTCTGTTTGATGTCCCAATCCATATCTGGCATACAGAGCTCACTGTCCTCCAACTGCTTTTGTTTTTCAGTATTTTGCCTTAAAGACATGTTTCTCCCACCACTAAGTGACTGAATGGACGGTTGATAAGGGCTGACAGAATGTAATACATATAACGATATGCGATCCTTCAAGTCTTCATGGCAGAATGTGGTTTTGAAAAATACAAAATTACGGAGAAACAAATATACAACGAAAGTAGTTTGACAAAAACTGCATCTTTAAACGGTAGCATTGTAACAAACCACGTCTTCAAACATCGGTAGGATTAAAGAAATATGTAAGGTCACTGCTGACTAAAAATGGTGGCTCCTGCAGTGTATATTTTCTTTTGTATTGTGTGGCACCTGTTCAGAGTTAGCCTGAGATTTAGTAGCTTGTTTTAACGAGGCCTCTGTTTTTCCAGTTAAATAGAGCTAAAGCTTCTCAGACTTTCTGGCAATGGCAGATGGCAGAAGGAGTGAAAGGCAGATGGAAATAAAAATTACTTCCAAAATGTTAAGGAGCAGTTCTGTCTCCTAGAAATAATGTTTATATACAACTAATCTCAAACAGCAAGTGCCTTTTTCAGAGAAATGCAATGCCAGCAAATTATCTTTTGTATTAATGAGGAGATGTTGCCAAATAATGGACCAGTCAAGTCAAAAAAATGCTGTATACTGAACGTATCAGCAAAATGTTCACTGACAACTTGTTTCTTTTGTTTTCCACCAGAAAAGACAATCTTGCAATGCACTATCCACTCATAGTGACTACAGCATTTTTTTTTTTTTTAAATTGTGAATACAGTTTTTACCCTTTAAGGTCAGAGAAAGATTGTGATTTTGGTTAAACCATAAAGGGTCAGTTTGGATTTTTTTAAGTGGGGTTTTATAGGGTACTTATCCAAAGTCAGTGTATTACATACAGTAGACAACAACCGACACGCCCCCAGTTTGGAGAGCCAGACTGGAGTCCGACATGGAAGCCAAGAAATGTACAGGTGTGGATGGGGGCCAGCGACAATATGTGTTTTAGTCACCTCAAAAAAGTCCCAACTAAAAGGTCAGTTAAAGTGTGCTCTATGTTAAGAGTATTCCCCATCCCTCCATCTGTCAGACAGCCCGTCCCAACGGGGAAGTCATTAGCATCTTCAGTTACCCATTTATGCTCTCAAAGCCACCAGATTCCATTGAGAAAAACAGTAATTTCAGCTCGCCGAGAGCATTCAGACTAACCCTTTAAACGCCAAAGTCACACAATAATACAAAGGTAGTGGTACACCAACAGCTCCTTTGTTCAGCAATGTTACATTACTATTTGCTCAATGGACTCTGGCTTTGAGGAGGATACTCTGGCTTCACTGGAAATCACTGTCTGACTGCAATGTACAGCAGTAAAAATATTCTAAAAATGGCATACACTTAAATTGTTGTATTGTTCTTTGTAGGTGGAACATTTTT